TCCAATCTCTGCCTCGTGTCACATTGGCTCCTCTCCTGTCTGTCTTTTTCTTCTATGTGTCTTTTATAAGGATACTTAAAATTGGATTTAGGGCCCACCAGGGAATCCAGAATGATCTCCTTATCTCCTTAACTTAATTGCATCTGCAAAAGACATTTTTCCAAATGAGGTGACATTCCCAGGTTCTAGGGATTGGAAAAGGAACATACCTTTTTGAGGCTACCATTCATCCCACCATAGCTCTTAATATAAAAAGAGGCAAGTCAGAAGTGCCAAATGATTTCCCTCATTTGTGGAGTATAACAACGAAGCAAAACTGAAGAAACAAAATAGCAGCAGACTCAGAGACTCCAAGAAGGAACTAGTGGTTACCAAAGGGGAGCAGTGTAAGAGGGTGGGTGGGGAGGGAGGGAGAAGGGAACTGAGGGGTAGTATGTTTAGTACACATGGTGTGAGGGGTCACGGGGAAAGCAGTGTAGCACAGAGAAGGCAAATAGTCAATCTCTGGCATCTTACTACACTGGTTGACAGTGACTGCATTGGGGTATGGGTGGGGACTTGATAATATGGGTAAATGTAGTAACCACATTGTTTTTTCATGTGAAACTTCATAAGAGTGTATGTCAATAGTACCTTAATAAAAAAATAAATAAATATTTTTTTTAAAAAGAGGCAAGTCAGAGGCAAGCCTCCTCATGGAAATAAATACTTCCATGCCCTACAAAAAAATCCCTGAATGCAATCAAGCATCAATTTATAGGAAATACAGAAAATAGAACACTAGAAGGACACAATCAAGAAAAGTTAGACCCTGGGAAATACCACAGAACAAAAACCCAGTTTCTTCAGCAAATAAATTTCAAGGGAGAAAAGAGATGGAGGAGGAAACCTATAGAGGAGAAGAAAGTCAAGCAACATCATCTTGTTGCACTGTAAGGGCTCTATTTTGATCCTAATTTGAAAACTCTTTTAAAAATATTAAATAATCAGGGAAAATGGATACTTACTGGTTGTTTTATAAGTATTTATTATACATTTTAATATGGATATGTTTTTTTGAAAGTCCTTGTCTTAGGATGTCAACTCTCACACTCTTTTATTCAACATAGTACTGGAGGTCCTACCCACAGAGAGAAAAAGGTATCAGATTTGGTAAGGAAAAAGTTAAACTGTCACTATGTGCAGATGACATGATATTTTACATAGGAAACCCTAAAGACTCTACCCAGAAACTATTAGAACTAATAAATGAATTCAGCAAAGTTGCAAGATTCAAAATCTTTGATTTTGCAAGATGCAAAATCTGTTGCATTCCTGTATGGTAACAATGAACTAACAGAAAGAGAAATCAGGAAAATAACTCCATTTACAATTGCATCAAAAAGAATAAAATACCTAGGAATAAACCTGACCAAGCAGGTGAAAGACCTATACCCTGAAAACTATAAGACACTCAGAAAGAAATTAAAGAAGACACAAATAAATGAAATTCTATTGTCAAAGTGGCCATTCTGCCCAAAGCAATTTACAGAGTCAGTGCAATCCCTGTCAAAACACCAACATCATTTTTCATTGAACTAGAACATATAGTTCTAAGATTCATATGGAACCACAAAAGATCCCAAATAGCCAAAGTAAACCTAAGAAAGAAGAACAAATCTGGGTGTATCACGCTCCCTGACTTCAAGCTCTACTACACAGCTATAGTAATCAAAACAGTTTGGTATACTGGCACAAGAACAGACCCACAGATCAATGGAACAGTATAGAGAGCCCAAATACAAACCCACGCATCTATAATTAATATACGATAAAGGAGCCATGAATATACAATGGAGGAAAGACAGTCTCTTCAACAACTGGTGTTGGGGAAAGTGGACAAGCTATATGTAAGAGAATGAAACTGGATTATTGTCTAACTCCATACACCAAGCAAACTCAAAATGGGTCAAAGACCTGAATGTAAGATGTGAAACCATAAAGCTTTTAGAACAAAATGTAGGCAAAAGTCTCTTGAACTTAAGCATGAACAATTTTGTCCTGAACACATCTCCTCGGGCAAGGGAAACAAAATAAAAAAATGAACAAGTGGTACTACATCAAACTAAAAAGCTTCTGTACAGCAAAGGACACCATCAGTAGAACAAAAAGGCATCCTACAGTATGGGAGAATATATTCATAAATGATTTATCCAATAAGGGGTTAACATCCAAAATATATAAAGAACTCAAGACTCCTCAACACCCAAAAAACAAATAACCTGATTAACAAGTGGGCAGAAGACCTGAAGACACACTTCTCCAAAGAAGAAATTTGGACAGCCAACAGACATATGAAAAGATGCTCCACATCACTAATCGTCAGGGAAATGCAAATTAAAACCACAATGTGATAATCACCTCACACCAGTTAGGATAGCCAACATCCAAAAGACAAAAAACAACAAATACTGGGGAGGCTACAGAGAGAGGGGAACCCTCCTACACTGTTGGTGGGAATGTAAATTAGTTCAACCATTGTGGAAAGCAATATGGAGGTTCCTCAAAAAACTAAAAATAGGAATACTATTTGACCCAGTGATTCTACTCCTAGGAATTTACCTGAAGAAATCAAGGTCGCTGATTCAAAAAGACATATGCGCCCCTATGTTTATCACTGCACTATTTGCAATAGCCAAGATATGGAAGCAACCTGAGTGTCCATCAGTAGATGAATGGATAAAGAAGATGTGGTACATATACACAATAGAATATTATTTAACTATAAAAAAAGAAATCCTGCCATTTGCAACACCATGGATGGAGCTGGAGGGTGTTATGCTCAGTGAAATAGCCAGATGGAGAGACAAATAGCAAATGATATCACTCATTTGTGGAGTATAAAAACAAAGCAAAACAGAAGGAACAGAATAGCAGTGGACTCATATACACTGAGAAGGGACTAGTGGTTACCAAAGAGGAGAATTTAGGGAGGGTGGGAGGGAGAAGGGGATTAAAGGGCACTGTAATTCACAATCAATATAGATAGGTCACAGGGATAGTAGTACAGCATGGAGAAGACAATGATTGTATAACATCTTACTACGTGACAGACAGTGACTGCACTGGAGGGGGTGAGGACTTGATAATATGGGTGGAAATTGAACCACTGCATTGTGTATTTGAAACCATCATAAAATTGTATACCAATGATACTTTAAAAAAAAAAGCAAAACAGAATGAACAAAACAGCAGTAGACTCATAGACACTGAGAAGTGACTATTGATTACCAAGGGGGAGGGGTTAGGGTGGGTAGGTGGGTTGGGGAGGGGGATAAAGGGGCAAAATAATTCATAATCACAATATATTTGGTCATGGGGTAGGTAGTACAGTGTGGAGAATATAGTCAAGTGATTCTGTAACATCTTGCTATGTTGATAGATACTAACCACACTAGAGGGGGTCAAGATTTAATAACCACTGTGTTGTACATTTGAAACCAACATAAGATTGTGTATCAACAATACTTAAATTATTTTAACAAGTCCTTGTCTTGTAGATATGTTTATGGATGAAATGATATGTCTGGGACTTACTTCAAACTGTTTGGGAATGGAAGAGATATATGGTTTTATGGATGAAACAAGATTGGCTATGAGGGGATGTTTTTTAAGCTGAGTGATGGGTCCATAAGGATACATTATACTGGTGTCTCAACTTTTACATGTTTATAGCTTTCCATAACAAAATTAAAGATCTAAAAATACTGAAGTCTCCTCAAAGTTTGTTACTAGCAAGACAATCCTTCTAGCTTTTTCTGCATGGTGATTAGTGAGGCATGTAGGGCTGTGTCAAGAGCTTTAAAGCTTTACTAGCTTAAAACTGGAATCCAGAAAAAGAACACAACACATTTCCCTTTGAGATTATGTTTATTCAGCTAACTTCCCTGACCAGATTCTCCCACACACTCTTCTTCATCCTATAGTCTGGATTAAATAGCACCCCTTTTGTGCTCTCCTAGTGTCCTCAGCATACTTCCGAGAGTATTTTAATTGTGTAACCTGTTTGGTTCTCCCAGTTTCCAGATTATAAATTCTTTGAGGATACTAACCTTGTTTATTCATCTCGATTCATCTGTATACTCCCCTTTTCTCTGCATTTAACACTGGGCCCAGTAAGCTCAACAAATGGTTGTTGAGTAAGAAATAGAGAATGACAATTGTGCTGGTAAATAAAATGCAAAACATACCTGTGCTAGTAAATAAAATGCAAAACATAGCCCCTACTTTCTCCATCTCCTTGTACACCCTTTACCTCCAGCTACAGAGCTGCTCTAAACTTTTTTCTACTTCTGCCCATCCTCTGGCAGAGGTACTAATGAGCTATAATATAATGCAAATGAATGATAAGTAAAGGTTAAGCAGAATAGAAAAATGGGTTTCTGCACAGTCAAATGTTGCTGCTTTCCACTCCTTCCCAGAGTATATAATGCAATTATTTTCAGATAGCTGTCTGTCTTGTTATGCTTTAAGATGGTAATTAGAATATAACCTCGTAGGAAAAAAAAGTACTATAAAATACTTTTGTGTGCTATGGATGGGGTTATGTGGCAGTTTCCTAGTGGATGGCAATCTCCATAAAATAGACTTTTAGGAGGCCTACAAAACTTTAAAGGTGGAGGAGACCTAAGACACTCATGTGCTTCTCTAGTTACACACACACCCCTCAGAAAAAATAGCTTTCTGGATAATAGTTATCTTCTTGCTGTCTTAAAATATTGCATATTGTCTAGTGTTAAAATCTGGGCTAGTTTCTAAACTAGGACTTTCCAAATTTAGATTCTTGAGAAAATAGGACACAAAAGTAAAATGGGGGAAAAAAAGTTTAAATATCATTTCCTTTTGACCATGTAGTGTTGGATGATTTTTCATTTTTGGAAAACAGAATAACTTTAAAATGTAATTCTTGGACATTTTAACCTAATTATTAAAGACTTAAAGATATTTTATTTTCTTTTTAGGTGGTACGGGACTATAACCTTCAGCTGTTTTTACAAGAAAATGCTGTATTTCACAAACCCCAGCCCTTCCAGTTCCAGCCTTGTGACAGTGATACCGTAAGGGAATTCCAAATTTTTCCATTTCACTTGTTCTTAAGCTACGTTTGTGCTCAATATTGTCGTTGGAAAAGATAAGTAGAAAAAGCTGAGTATGTCTCATTAATTTTATAACAAAACTGTGAGAATACACAGAAATTGTGGCATTTCTTCTTTCTAAAATATAACACCCAGTATCTTTATGCTAATAACAACTTTCTATTAAATATGGTGAAGTTATAAGACAAGTTATTGAAAATCTGAAAACTAATCTGAGGGAAGAAGAAAAAAATATTCAATAACATTTTTTTCAATTCAAATATAAATTATACTTCTTGTCCATAAAACTTTTCTCTGTGGCTAAATTTTAACTAGAAGAGAATAAATAAGTAGAATAATGAATATGTGTTCACAAATATTTTGGCTGGCCTTATAAAATCTTACAGGCCCTTTATAATTACAAATTGTCAATTTTTGAAAAAGCAGACATTAATCATACATTTTTATCCTTGGGTTTGTGAAAAATGTTTGCCATTATTTGAATTTTTTAAAAGAGGAAATGAAATGCTATTTGATAACGTAAAAAAGATATTTAATTTCTACGAAATGAGAAAGTGCATGTTGACATATTTAGCTCATTCTTCCAATGTAGGAAAGCCAAGAGGGTAGTCAAATTATATTCATAAACATTTAGTAATGTATATAATTACTAAATCACTATGTTGCAGTATATATTGTATACCAATTATATTCCAATAAAAAATTGTATTTATAAGGTCTTTTGATAAACCTAGAATCAGAACCGGGGGAGTTTGATATCAGAGTTTTATGGTATCCATTTAATAGAAAATTTTGCTGGAGATATCTTCATTGCTTTTCTTACATTTTAAGTAGCCCTGTTAAATGGCTAAATAAAGAATTAAGGAAATCAGCATTTACCTCTAGATTGTAGCCCTTGCTTGCCCTTTATAATAGTGTCTGTTTTTATCAGCTTTTGTTTAATGACTCAATGACATTGTTCTATAATTTGACTTCTTTGAAATTGGATGGGATGAAACAGCATTAGAAGGTATAGGGTATGGACAAGTTTGCCAAACTTGATTTAAAATTATGACTAATTTGAGATTGTTTATCTTTACCCATTCTTCTCAGAAAAATCAGAATAACAATAACTCTTTCACTTACCCAAAGCCCAACTACAATCCTAAATCCTTCTTTGTTCTAGACACTGTACTAAATATTCTTAGCTGTGTGTCCTGTTTGCATTTAAGTTCTAACTATGCTGTTTTCTGTCCTTGTGCAATCTTTACTGGGCAGAGTTTAAAAGCTGCCCAACTGGTGGATATTGAGCTCTCCCCTGTCAGTGCTCTGAGAATGACCATAGCTGAGGTATATGGGGGTGTGGGTCAAGGGTGGGAGGGATGGGATGTGTGGGTTTGCATGTTGTTAATGAAGGGTGGGACCTGGCATTGGGATGAAAGTTTTAAGGTGTGTGTGTGCGTGTGTGTGTGTGTGTGTGTGTGTGTGTGTGTGTGTGTGTGTAAATGGAGGTATAAGGAGCCCCTGTATGCAAAAGTTGGGGCTATTTTCCCTTATAATTAGGGAGTTCCTTTCCTTTTTATAGTGAAAAGATTGAGCTTCTCATTTTTCCTCTTCTTTGAGGCACTTTAGTTTTCCTCAGCAGGAGAGCTAGAAAGAACCTCAGAGTTAATCATGTCTTTATTAAAGGGGAAACTGAAGCCTAGCCAGGAAAAGAGACCTGTCCAGAATCACACAACGAATTATTGCCACATTACTGCCCTGTTTGCAATCTTAATGTTCTTTTTACATGCTACTTTGTTTTCTGAGAAGAAATGTTCAGCACTTGGGGAGCAACTTATTTTTTCATAATAAGGAAAGATGAAAGCCCATATTTGATAAAGTCAACTGTTGAAAAAGATTGTTAACCATTGAAAAAAATCCTTAGAATAGTCATTTTGAAAATGTTTTTAAGTACAAAGTATTTTTGTGTGTAATTTTTGTTTTGTTGTAAATTAAATAGTATTGATGGTGAGAGAGAAGTTAAACATCATAAATAGAAGTTGCAACTAGGTTTTGTGTTTGAGTTTTATATGTGGTAGTTTATGGAGAACTATAGGATATTTTCAAGTAGGATGGTCATATAATGAGGTCCATTGCAGATGGATTCCCCTTGCAAAACAGTATTATTCCTTAATTTTATTTTGGATTTATAATTTGACTTAGGAATTTTGAACTACTTATGAATTTAACACATTCATTTTTCATTCACTCAATAGATACTTTTTATATAACTTTCATATGCCCTTGCCTTACACAAAGAAGGGTATTCAATAAATATTTAATCAAAATTGAGGAAAGTATATTTAGGAAAGCCATAGGACTTTTAAAGTTACTACCATGATAAAATATAACTTACTTTCTTCTGAATTTTTATTTTTGGTATCATTAATGTACACTTACATGAACAACATTGTGGTTACTAGACCCCCTCCATCATCAAGTCCCTACCACATACCCCATTACAGTCACTGTCCATCAGCATAGTAAGATGCTATAGAATCACTACTTGTCTTCTCTGTGCTATAGTGCATTCCCCATGTTCCCCCACCCCCACATTATGTGTGCTAATAGTAATGCCCCCGTTTCCCCTTATCCCTCCTTTCCCACCCATCCTCCCCAGGCCCTTTCCCTTCTGTTAGCCCACTCTTGTGTTCTGTGAGTCTGCTGCTGTTTTGTTCCTTCAGTTTTTTCTTTGTTCTTATACTCCGCAGATTAGTGAAATCATTTGGTACTTGTCTTTCTCCACCTGGCTTATTTCACTGAGCATAATACCCTCTAGCTCCATCCATGTTGTTGCAAATGGTAGGATTTGTTTTCTTCTTATGGCTGAATAATATTCCATTGTGTATATGTACCACATCTTCTTTATCCATTCATCTACTGATGGACACTT